AAGTTTGAAAATTCCAAAATAGGTCTGCCATGTTTTTATTACCAAAATAAGCTAATTACTGCCATGTTTGGAAAACATTGTCATGTTTAAAGTCTGGTACTGCCAAAACATAGTAGTAATTAATCCTATTTTAGAAATAAAAACATGATAGTCCTATTTTGGAATATAAAAATGTTTTTAGTCCTATTTTGGATAATTACTCTTATACTAAAGAGATAATTACCCTAGGTATGATTAGAACCCCTCATTTTCCCAATTCAATTTATGACCTAACTATTTTTTTCCCAAAATAATATTTAAATTTATAAAATTTAATTAATTTTGTAATTAACTGATAAATAAATAATTTTTACGGACTAATATACCCTTTAGGTTATACCTATAAAACTCTAACCTTCCACCTCTTTTCTCCAACACTAGCCTCTAGTCTCCAACCCGGCCGCCTGCAGTTCTCCAACTCGCCGTCCAGCCACACAGCCGCTGCCATCCAATAGCACCGCCGTCATCCAGTAGCACCGCTGCCTAGCCCCTCACCCTCCTTCCTCTCGCCTTCGCATACCATATACGACACCCAACACGCAGCCTGCCTTATACCCGTCATTGATTCCGTGATGTCGTAGGCCAAGGAGGCGGACTGGTCCGTGGGCGGCCGCCATAGTTAGTTAAATACGGTACGAGAATTAAATGAGGTTTAATACGTACGCGTTTTATACGGTAACATGAAAGAAAAAAACGGTCAAAAATTCGTTGAAAAAAAGCGACTTTTAAAAAACGTGTAAATACCTATAAGTATATAATATGATATCTGTTACAATAATTCGGACAAAAAATATGGGGTATTATTTCGAACATTTAAATTATATACTTCAAAAACAACACATATAGTTAAAAGAAATAACATTATACACATTTCAAGTAGTGAATCTCATTACTAGATAAAAGAATTATTTATAAATGCATAAGTTGATGACAAAAATAAAACTTAGTAATTAAGTCCAAGAAATAATTTTGCAAAATAATGTCAAAAGAATAAGGCATAGTAACAATAGAATGAGACTCAATTAAAATTGTTATCTTTATATCTAAATCTTCATTTTTACCTCTCCTCGATAACTGCATCTAGTCACATTTGTGGAATTCTTTTTTCTAGTCACTTTTTGTGAATGAATAATACTCCGTATTAATAGTAACTAGATTCTCACCCGTGCGATGCACGGGACAAAATTTAGTATAACGGTGTTATATTTTTTATGATATTAACAATTTTTTTTATTAAATGCAATGTGTAATGAATATAGAATATCAGGTTTTTTTTAACCCGAAAGGCAATATCAGGTATTATATAATTAAGGTTATACGGAGTAATTACTAAGAGTATAATGATTTGTAAGAAGATAAATGTCTGAAAATAGAAATGATATATTAAGAGCCTGTTTGATAATACACAAATTGACCGCATTGACTGATTCAACCGAAATTTATAAAAAACTGACCGAATTGGTTGGATTGATTGGTTCTATCTTTGTACAATAATCTCAACAATCAACTCAATTTTTTTACAAAAAGTTAAAAATTTGATTTATATTTCAAAATTGAATTTTATAAAATGAAAGTTTAACTAAATCCAATTAGGTATTGTGTAATTGTGTTTCATAAAGAAAATCACTATTTTTTTAGAATTTGCATGTATCTGATGGGATGGGATGTTTTTGAGTGGGGAAATGATCAAAAATCCCACTTCTTTTTTATATAGATAGATTTATGTTGAAGTTTGAAAAAAATCAGCTCCCCGCTAGATTGAGTTCAAAGAAATACATTAAAAACAATCACTTTTACACTTTGATAACAAATGAAATGAAGCAGATACTAACATTCGTTAGATTCAAATTATATTTAAAGTTTATGAGCAAATTCAAATTTCAAATTAATACTCCATATAAATTATTAATGGGAGTAACATCATAAAATAGTAGGGAGAACTGTAAATGCCAATAAAAGTAAATATGGTGTATAACGTCATCCTCTCCCGTGCTTTAAAACTTTGCCAACTTTCCTTTTTTAGATGTCCCATAAACTTTGCCAGTTTCCCTTTTAAGTAAAGAATTTGTGATTCCAGTTAATCCTCTTTTCTCTACACAAATATCAACCACACAATTTTTACTTTATTAATTTTCATAACGGTCAAACTTGGCAAAATTTTAAGGGACGCAATATCTAAAAAAAAGGATGACACCCCATCCCTGAGGGCCCCCAACCCCGACCGGACGGTACGTTGGGAGGATGTAAGTTGGACTATAATTCCAATCTGACAGATAGAGAGTGGAGCTCTATCCCCAGTACTTGCAGAGACCCTATGCATTTTTTAGCATAGTAACCCCTACTATGCGGTCTAAGAAGGCTACTTTCTTGACCCGACGCAATATCTATACGGTCTAAGAAGGCTACTTTCTTGACCCGTTTTTGACCCGTGATTTTGAGTAAAATCATTACTCCCTCCGTTCCTATTAAAACTTCCAAATAGGTTTGGCACACAATTTAAGATAGTGGGTATTGTGTGGTGGAGAGTTGTGCAGAGGAGAGAGAAATGTGTAAGAAATGTTGTGAACCACAAATTTTATACTAAAAAGGGAAAGTGGGAGTTTTAATTGGAACGGACGAAAAAGAAAAGTTGGAAGTTTATTTAGGAACGGAGGGAGTATAAAATAGAGGAGAAAATAAAAATAAATGTAAAACCCATCCTCGTGAAGAAGCATATTGGGGATCACTAACTAACAGGAAACTTCCGGCCAGTTTGTGGGCAGACTGGCGCTCCTTCGAGGTGAATCTGGAGGAGTGCGTGATGTACCTCCTGGAGGAACTCTTCAGTTTTGAGCATGGAGGTGGCAGCGTCCGCATCTTCCATTCGATTCGATCTCGGAACCTCCACCAGCGCCTTCCATTTGATCTTCGGGAAGTGGTTCCTGATGAAATCAGCATTGAATTCCACCGGCTTTTCCATAGCCTTCTCTACCTCGATCAGAAGAGGAAATCCATTTGTTACTCCCTTGATGTTACACGATAGCGTGTTGTGAGTCAAGAGCCTCGTCGCCGGTTCCTGATGCAGAGGCTTAGGGCGCGCGGCGTAGGTATATATTGATGTAAGGCTCGTCTGAAGAAGGGGCTCATTATTTATCGCGCAGCTACAGTGTAAGTGTGCAACTCTATGTCTCTGGAAGCTCCGCGGGTTCTCCACCCAATGAACAGACAGCTGTAGTGCACAGTGCACTCACGTGTTCAAGAAAAACATTGGGCAAAGAGTTGGAGAATCTTATTATCCTACGGATTACAGCTACTACGCCTTACATGGACACTATTTTTCAACCAATCGGACCTGTTTTTTTACCCGTTTTTTGACCCGTGATTTTGGGCGGGAAAGATGGCTAAGTTTCCACTTCGTTTTGTATATAGTAAGATATTCGTAAAAAACGCCAAGACAAAAGTAAATACTACGTTTATTGTTGTGCATTGATATCTCTTGTCTATTTCGCATTTCCAACATTCTTTTTTTATTGTTTGATGGAATTATCCGGATTGGTAGCCACGAGTAGGGATGGACCGGGACGGGTCGGCCCGATCCAGCCCGCTACTTTTCAATCCAAATCCCGATGGCTATAAGGGCAAGTTGCGGGCTCATTTGTTTGGGCTTGAGATGGCCGGGGCCGAGCCGGTCCCGAACACGATTGCACTTTTTTTTAAATTTGTTGCCGAGTCTCATCACGAAACATGGCCTGACCCGGTACTGTTTAGGCCCGCCCGGGTAAAAACCGAGCTGATACCGGGCCTGCATTTCTTAAGCCTGAGCCCGCCCAGACCTGACCCGACCCAGTCCCGGTCCACCCATAGCCACTACTAGGGTAGATTCGGTTCTCTTTGTTCGGTTTTGACCAAAAATCAAATAGAGAATTAGAGTTATAAAAATTTCAATTCGGTTGTTTTGATTCGATTTTGACCAAAAATTAAACCGAATATGAAATTAAAGTCAAAAGTCGATTTAAATGTTTGGTTCGGCTTTGACCAAAAACCAAATACGGAATCAAAGTAAGAAGTTCGATTCAGTTTTACATTTCAAACTTGGAACCACGGTTTGATTGGTTTAGTTATGGGTTTCCCGGTTTTTTCCCTAAAAAATTATTCCTTAATTTAAAATGATACAAGAGTTGGGGATCAAATATACTTCGTATTACATAAAAATGAAAACATATTAGAACAAATAAAATATAATAGAAAGAGAATAAATTAATGTCTTGACTTATATGAATATAGGGAAGAGATAATACACTTTTATTTTTTTGGATCAAAATTGTGTTTGACCTTCTTTTACGTTTTTTTCTACCTAGTTTGAAAAAAGTTCAAGAATATATGTTCTATGTTATAGAGTTGAGATGGATATTTATTTGTTCTATCAATATAAAAACTTTAAGAGCCCGTTTGGTAGCACGAAAATCGGCCAATTTGGCTGATTCTGCTGAAGTTTATGAATTTCTGGCTGTATTGGCTGATTCTGTTGATTTAATAAAAAATTATTTTTGAAACATATTTTATTAATGAAGAAAAAATTATATGTAAAAATAGCTAAAATGGTCATCTACAGTAACTTCAGCCAATACAGCCGGAAAAGTAACCCCAACCTTACTTTTTCTGCTTATTACACAATTTAGGGCACGAAAGTAAAAGTTACATGTTTTGTGATAAGCTGAAAAACAGTGTTGGCAAATGGCCTCTAAGTTACATAAAAATTAACATTACTGGTAATAATGAGTAAGCATAACACAATACTTGCAATGAATATATAGATAAGAGACATAACATATAGATAGCTACATTGTTACTGACGATGGATGTTTAAATGCATTTATAAAATAAACTAAACATAACATAAAAATTAATTTTCTAGGACAAGAAAATCAAAGACTATTGATGATATTAGAAAAATAATTAATGCTATCAGTTCGGTTCGATTTTGAAGGGTAAAACGCATAAGCGAATGAAACAATTGCGATTCAGTTTAATTTGATTGTATTTTAATTACAAAGGGTCACCAGTATAATCGTGGTGAAACACAGCACCACGTATATCATAAATGTAAAGAGAGTAAACAACGGTAAAAAACGCTTCCAAGCCGCAACAAAACATTACAATGGTGAGGTTGGTTTTCGCACGGAGATCATCATCAGAGATCCCATTGCCCCACTTCACTACTTTCGCAAGACAAGTCTCTCCTCCAATACATACTCCCCTGCATCAATTAAGTAATTAAACATTTGTTAATTATTTATAGTTGAGAAAATATTTAAAGGGGTGTGAGATAAACACCCTAAACTTTCATATGTAATTTAAATACTTCAAACTTTATATAAAAAGTTATTTTAACAGCATGGTTATGTATTATTTATTTCAAAAAAGTAAATTTATGATGTTAATTGCATAATTTAAAATAGCAAATTGAAAATGTTGCAATTATATAGAGTGAGGGGTAATACTATATATTTTACAATGCAAGTTTAGAATATTAATTGTATCTTCATGAATGCTACAATATTTTAAATTATGAAATTAACACCAAATATTAACATTTTTGAAAGAAATAATACATAACCATGGTGCTAAAATAACTTTTTAAGTAAATTTTGAGGTATTTAAATCACACACGCAACTTTGGGTTGTTTACCTCACTCCCCTTCAAATTAAAGTTGGGGTATTTTAGTTATTTTTCCCAGGAAAATATATGGATGCTCAACTAAAAATGTTAATTCATATCAATGCTCATTTTATAAGTTACGTATGCTCATTTAGTACTGATGTTATTCTCATTTTTAAAATGACGTATCGATGCATATTTCAAAAGTATCATATTACATTAGATTCACATATTGAAATTCATAGGAGTTGATTATAAATACAATTTAATGAGTTTTATAAAATAAAAAATAAGAAAAAGAAAGTGAATTAAAATATATGAAGCAGAAATCAAGATGCTTAATATTAGACTTCTGATACTCAAAAAAATAGGTCTAGTACTCATGAAAAGTGCATTAATGCTCATTTAGTGGAAATGACGAATTTCACTTAAATTACCAAAATGTCATAGCTTGTACAGTGCTCACCATACAACCGGTTGTACGGTATACATACTCTAAAGTAGGAAAATGGTGAAAAAATGTTTAAGAGAAGATAAAAAGTAGAAAAAGTAAATGTGATTGAATAGTTATTAAAGAAAAAACATATCCAAAAGAGAAAATGTAGCAACGTTTTAAATACATCCAAAAAAGTAACTATCACAAAATTTAAAATACAAAGGAAATATAATTTTTCATTTTACTTTATCAATAAAACATATTTTGAATATTTAGTAAACATAACCATTCAAGCCTTTTTTTATGGGAAAATGGTACAAATATACCCTTTTGGTATGGGTGGTAGAACAAATATACCCCTAAATTTTTAAAAGGTGCAAAATGCCTCTCATGTTCCTATAAAGGAGCAAATTTATCATTATGTACTTTAAAAAGATAAAATAAATTTCAAAAAACATAAATAATATATTATAAATTTGAAATTAAAAAAAAACTACTTGTTTCCAATTCTCCATTTTAATATTTTTATATCACAATTTAATATTATTAGTATAAATATAATATTTCAAAACATTACTACATATTTAGGATTCTTTTAGAAAAGTGTTAACATATGTGTTGCAATGTAAGTAATCATTAATTTGTTTGTATTCCTGACACTATTAAATTACATATTTTGTATGATGATAAATAGTTCAAGATTATGAAATAGTGAATTTAATTTTATTAAGAATAAAGAAATCAAAGGATGTTATTTCAAACAATGTAACAATAATGTGTTTAAAATTTTGTAACACGACTAAAATTAATATTTATGAATTTGAAGTGCTTCATTTACAACGGAAAAATATAATTTTGCAAATTTAAAATAAAAGAGTTAATATTCTAACATAAAAATAAATATTTATATTTAACTATTTATTTTTTTTGTTTCTCAATTTCAAATTAATAATTTTTTTGTGTTTTTAAAATTTATTTTATTTAATTAAAGTCAACAAAGGTAAATTTGATCCTTCATAGAAGCATGCAGATTATTTTTGTACCTTTTAAAAGTTCAAGGGTATAAATGCAACTCAATAAAAACTTCAGAGGTTTATTTAAAAAAAATAGAACATGAATATATAAACTTCATAATATAAGAACATAAACTTCAGGGTACATTTTCCCTTCTTTTATTGAAGTGGTGGAGAAAAAAGATTGGCTTTGAAACCCAATTCCGAACGGAGCTTCACATAAAGAAAGCGCTTCGATGGCCCATGGTGAAATCAGATTCCTCTTATAGATAAACTTATAGATAAAAGACACCAGATTAGGGACAGAGTCATATTCCTCGTTCATTTTCATTTCATTTTCATTTACCCCAGTGCCGCAAAGGCTCCCACCTACGGTGGGGTAAGGGGGGTCGGATGTACGCAGTCTTACCTCTGTACTAAAGCACAGAGAGACTGTTTCCGGATGACCCATAGAAATGTCCAAAATTGCATGGACTGACTGCTGCTCCATAACAAAGAAGTGTAGACAGTTTAGTGAGTCATTTTGCTTTATTCCATCATAATCTCAAGCCAAAAAAAAATGAATCTTTGACTCCATTCCAAATGATGGAAATGACATAGTCATATTCCTCTCGTGAAATATTATAAACTTGGCTTATTTGAGTTATTTGCTTTATGTGATTTTGATAATGGGTCAAAATTGAATATTTATTTAGTGCAAATAAAACTCTCTCCATGAACAAATTGAATATTCAAATAATTGAAAAATTATTAATTTTTTTGTATATTTGGAAATCTTGACAAAGTTATTTGCATATTCAATCGTATTATTAAGAAAAGTGATTTCAAAATTGTAAAGTTTGTACTTGGAGGGAGATTTGCACATTAATATTTATAACACATAGGGTTCGACACTTTTTTTAATTCAAAAGGTCTCATGCACCAAATGTATATATCATTAGGAGCTTTGGTACATTAAAGTCGGTCCTATTCAATGATAATGGTTCAGTAGGGCATTCTCATCGGAGCCGTACATTATGGCAAATTTCTTGGTGTTATACCCATTGGGAAGGTGCTTCATTGCATATTTACGGACTAAATTATGAATTAGTACGATACTACGCCAATGTACTTGTACTGTTGTGATATAGGATCCATTTTGTAACACTGAAATTAACTGAATGAACCGATTCCACCGAAATTTATGAAGTTATATGGTATTTGATGGATTTGTTGATTCTGCTCAACTATGAAAGATTATATTTAAAACAGCTAAAATGGTATTTTAGAGTAACTTCGATTAATCTAACCAGAAAAGTAACTTAAACTTTATTTATTTTGTTTATTACACAACTCAGCGCACAAAATCAAAAGTTAGAATATTTACTTGGACTGTAATTCGTCCCAGACCAAACCAGACTAGACCAAAACAGACCAGACCAAACCAGACCAGACTAAAACAGACCGGACCGGACCAGACGATATTTTATCATCATCATCGTCGTCGTCGTCGTCATCATCATCATCATCATCATCATCATCATCATCATCATAATCATCATCATTATCATTGTTATTGTTATTATTATTAGTATTATTAGTATTATTACTATTATTACTATTATTATTTTTAGTTATAAATGAATAAAATATAATTATTTATGGATTATAATATACTCCCTCCGTCCCTAAAAATGCTTCCCGATTTGACTCGGCACGCTTATTAAGAAAGTGGAATAAAGTGGAAATGTATGGTTGTGGTTGTGTAAGAAAAATGTGAAATGAATGTGAACCACACAAATTGTCCAAAAATGGTAAGTGGGAATAATTTTTTGGAACAGACCAAAAAGGAAAGTGAGAAGGATTTTCAGGGACGGAGGGAGTATATAAAAAAATAAAATCTTTATGCAAAAAATATAAAAAATGAAATTTCAGACCAGACCGGACCAGACCAAAATAGACCAGATCAGACCAGATAAAAAAATCCGGTTGTACGGGGAAGAAGGAAAACTTACAGTATAGCCACTAGATAAAGTAATGTAAACCACGAGACCCGTTGTATAGTAGTCTTAGTTTCTTCTTTTATCTTATAACACCATAAGAAAAACGCTGCGCCTAGGCTCATCAGAGAAGATGTCCCAAGGCAGAATGCTGCTTTTACACCAAGTTCCCAAACCGAGTCTCTATCGTGCTTCCCTACCTATTTCATCACCATCCCAAAACATCAAATCAATTCAAATTGTATCTGTTAGTAAAAAATGAGGAAGCGGTTCAGGTCACTATCTGTTTCACCCTCTCATTAGGGAGCTTAGGTCTTTGGTTCGAAATTATAGTTTCAAACTCTCTTTAACCCCAGGAAAAATAATACACAGTACGTAATAAAGTTACACAGATCATAATAATAATTAGGTTACTCATATACAGTATATACCTTTCCTTTTGCAGAAAACACAAGACCAAATGCTACAGCATCGACTAATACGGCGAAAACAAGGACCCAAACAATGAAATGAATCTTACAACCCCAATTTGTAGTCGTCATTTTCGACCGAGAATTGATCGAACTAAAATGAGTAACCAGTCGATACAATATAATGATATCTTTCTTTGCTAAAGTAAGAATTAATTAATGATCGATCGATGCTGGAGCTAATATATATAGATCAGAGAACCTTTATTTATATCTATATAGACGAAGTCCTATACCAGTCCATCTACGTCGTTGAAAGTTGAAATTAAAGTAGACAGCTCATAAATTTGCAATTTACCTTTATCAATTCTCATACTATATACTATCATATAACGTTATACACACGAATTCTTATCTGATAGAAGACGTCCAACCATGCAAAGAGGCCAGGTGTGATCCCCGACGATGGTTCCGGCGCAATTCCATCGATATTCACTCCTTCCTCGTCATCATCATGCAGGCTCATGCGGGCATAGATGACCTCCATATCATCAGCCATGCTAACGTAGAACAAGCCAAGATGGGCGAGAGAGAAACAATCGAACCACCAGCAAAACCCTAGACAGCTAGGGAGAGAGACGTACGTAAACGAGAATTCTTATTAGTTCCATTGGTGCAGATTCAATTAGCAGATTTGACATGCGGATTCAGAGTCCGTTTGATAATTAAAAAAAACCTCTTTTTATTTGAACCACCAGCTGAATACTGCCATATGAGGTGGTTCCCGTTTAAATTTTATGATAAAGTTTTATGAACATATTATTAATGAAGTGCAATGATGTTTAAAAATTTCAACTTAAAATTCAATCCAAAGCCAATAAATTGATAGTACGTAGTATATTTTTTAAAACTTTTATGCCAAATTATATACTCCCTCCGTTTCTGAAACAAGTTCCACATTTGACTTCACACATATTAAGAAAATAAATTTGACTTTACTGTGGAGTGCACTGTTTGGCACTGTTTGGCACTGTTTGAACACTGTTTGACACTGTTTGACACTGTTTTAATGTAGATGATTTGCCAAATAAGGAAATGTTTGAAAGTCGAACTTAATTTTGAATCTGCCCGAAAAGGAAAAGTGGAACTTGTTTAAGAAAAGGAGGGAGTAGGTTATAAAAAGGGAAAAACCACTTTTTCTACGTACGGAGTAGTATGTACTGTAGTTTATGAGCAATCAAAGTGCACTCACTACACAGTACACACCTAAAGGTCAGACAGCTTGCAAATTTCGAGGTGACTTCATCCGTCAGGACTTTGTTCTACGAATATATACGCACGCAGTTACGTACCATGTCTTTTCTTACATACCCATGTCTTTTCTTGAAGCACTTAAAATGCGTAGACACCCGAAAATGTCATTTGTACACGCTAAATAATTATACACATCATTTCACACGATATTTTTTACACGTCATTTAAAAGATATTTTTTACACGTCATTTCACACCATATTTTTTACACGCTAAATAATTATACACGTCATTTAAAAGATATTTTTTCTTGGGTAAAAGAAATCATTTTACAAAAAAAATATATGTGTCATAGACCAAATTTTTTGTCTATGCGAAAAACAATTCTTTTTACAAAATAAACAGAAATATATTAATTTTCATTAATTTCAGAGCTACAAATATATGTGATTAATGCGTAAATGTTACATTAATTTTTTATTGCAATTCCAGTTATTAGAGTATATGTTAGGGAAAAGGTACAAGCATATCTTACTAGTATGGGTGTGAGAACAAATATATCTTTGTTTTATATTTTGGAACAAATATACTCTTGAAGTTTATATGAAAGTGCATATATACCATTGAACTTTTAAAAAGTGAAAAAATGTCTCTCATGTTCCTATAAAGAAGCAAATTTACCCTTATTGTCACGCCCCAGACCACATCTAAGTGTATGTACAACCGTCGTACAATCAAGTGACATCACCCGCGAGTCACACTCACCTCGATTGTACAAGGCATCCATGAACCTCATTTATACCATACTCAGTAAGTAAACATAATAACAACATCACAATTTAGATTGAATGAATAGCAGAAATATTCAAAAGTCAATCATGGGCCATATATGGCAAAACATGGACTCGCAGGCCCAAAACAAAGTATTCATTACAAAATATCCATGAGCAAGTGTTTGTAGTTTTAAAGATAACAAGGAAGCATGAACCACATCTTCCTGAATGTGACTTCACCCGTCTGAAAGGTGCAGATAGCAAGCACTTGCTTCAACCTGAAATAGTGCCCCCCGAAGGGGTTAATACGCGAATACCGAGCGAGTAGTAGGCTAAATTTAGAATAACTAACGTTTCAAGTATAAGACCCAAACATAGTGTGATACATATGTTTATAGCTTTCCCCAAGTCTTTGAAATACATACTAGTATATACACTTGGAAAAAATATTCGACTCGTAGGTCATTTGATCAAATCAATAAAATGATGGTGGACTTAGTCCTTGACTTTCTCCATACACTACTAGAAAACTGGCTTATAGTGACAATTTTTAAAATTAGTGTCACTGACGAATGCCTTAACTAAAAAGTGTCATTAACTCATGACACTATTATATCAATAAAAATAGTGATATTACATGCGAATTTTTGGCTGCAACTTTTTAATTCCCTCCATTTTTTTCATCCATTATTTTCCCGGCCTCCACATCTTTGCCTCCCCATTTTTTTGCCCCACCACATGCAACATTTCACTTACTTTCCAATTCAACACTTGGTAATTTTTATTTCCCGGCCTGCTCCAACAATCAGCCCACTACGTACATAGATAGCCTTCTCGATCATTTCTCCTCTTCCACTCAGACATAATTCCTTCGTAAAAACCCTAGGCCGAAGACGACTTTAAGCTCCTGCTCCTTCAACGCTCTCCTCTTGCTCGCTGAACAAGAGAGAATCACAACGACGTCGCTAAGCTTAGGGCACACCGACCAACTCGAGAAGAGAAGGTATAAATCAGCGCACCATTATCTCTTTATTTCTTCGATTTTTGGAACTTGAAGGCCGGTATTACCCAACCATCTGTGTCTTTCTTTGATTTTTTACTTTTATGAACTAAATTTCTACCATTTCACTCTCACCTTGTTAATTTTCTGCTGAAATTGAGGATTTGTAGTTTATTTTGATTTTCGGACAATGTTCTTGTTCTTAATTTATATTGTTTTGTATATATTGGACTGATTTGCATTTAGTATTAACAAATTATGAAACTGAAGTCCCAATTATGTAGGCATGCATCAATTGCCTGAGCTGCGTGTTTACCTTACAGGGTTATATGTATTTGTGGCGGTTTGAGTTGTCCTCCTCCTCTTCATATTGTCCTTTAACTCTCAGCCTATTTCTTTCGATTTTCAGTCCCTACTACTGTTTGGGAGTTTAACTTATAGTAGGCTGGGTAGTTTCAATCTTCACTACAAACTGCTGCCGTAATATCTTTGAAGGATTCTTATTTTCAACTACTTTATTTGTTATTTGTGGGCTTAGAGAGACTTGGCTTTGTCCCGGGCCATTTACTCTATCAGGAGTCTCCCACTCCTTTTGCCGAGAGTTTCTCGAGGGAAATAGGAGCAGTGTCTTGAAGTTGCCGATGGCTCCCTTTCTGCAACTGAAGAATAAGAATTTTCAAGTTTGATTATTTTTGCTGAAGGGAGTAGATTGTCGATGTGATCTTGCCTCAGCTTGCTGTAGCAGAGAAATAGAAAATTTTTAACATTTGTGTGTTTTGCCGAGGGGAGTCCCCCAGTCCCCCACTCCTTTTTCCGAGAGTTTCTCGAGGGAAACAAGAGTAGAGTGATGCATGCTTTCAGCAGGAGCCGCCGAGGGGTGACGCCTTTTGTTCCACAATAGGGAGATGCCTCGTTAAAAATATCATTAGGAAAAAACCCTGTGGGAAAAAATCCTATTGAGGGAAAAAGAGTACACCGGATGCCCCTAGAATGAAGCAAAAGGAATGCACCCTTCGGCCTAGATTGTTGAGCGGTGGGTGTGTCCGTCTGCTGAGGGGATAACCAACACCAGCCTTAGATCCTGCATGAAAAAGCTGAGGAGCCTGTAAGGACCCCCGTTATCAAATAAAGGTGACGGAGGGGTGCAAGGCCGGGTGGGCCTGTGTGATGGCCCCCGACATCAAATAAAGATGCCAGAGGGATGAAGGCCGATGGGCTTGTATGATAGCCCCTGGCATCAAATAAAGATGCCAGAGGGATGAAGGCTAGGCCGAGGGGCCTGTGTGATGGCCCCCAACATCAAATAAAGATGCCGGAGGGATGAAGGCCGATGGGCCTGTATGATAGCCCCTGGCATCAAATAAAGATGCCGGAGGGATGAAGACCGTGGGCCTGTATGACAGCCCCTGACATCAAATAAAGATGTCGGAGGGATGAAGGTCGAGGGCCTGTATGATAGCCCCTGGCATCAAATAAAGATGCCGGAGGGATGAAGGCCGAGGGCCTGTATGATAGCCCCGACATCAAACAAAGATGCCGAAGGGGCGAAGGCCGAAGGGCCTGTATGATGGCCCCCGATATCAAATATTTGATGTCGGAAAGATGTACGATCGAGGGCCATTGTGATGCGGAATCATGCTGAGGCCAAGGGCCGTTGGTGATGTAGAATCATGTTTAGGTCGAGGGCCATTCGTGATGTAGAGTCACGCTGAGGCTGAGGGCCGTTCGTGATGTGAAATCATGCTAAGGCAAAAAACGTTGTGACGTAGAGTCATGCTGAGGTCGAGGGCCGCTGTGATTGTGAGGCTGAGGGCCTTTGTGATGTGGAGTCACGCTGAGGCCGAGGGCCGTTGGTGATGTAGAATCACGTTGAGGTCGACAGTTGTTCGTGATGTAGAGTCTTGCTGAGGCCGAGGGCCGTTCGTGATGTGAAATCACGCTAAGGCCAAACCCGTTGTGACGTAGAGTCACGCTGAGGCCGAGGTCCGTTGTGATGGTGAGGCCGAGGGCCGTTGTGATGTAGAATCACGTTGAGGTCGAGGGCCGTTCGTGATGTAGAGTCACGCTGAGGCCGAGGGCCGTTTGTGACGTTGAGGCCGAGGGCCGTTGTGATGTGGAATCACGCTTAGGCCGAGGGCCGTTGGTGTTGTAGAATCACGTTCAGATCGAGGGCCATTCGTGATGTAGAGTCACACTGAGGCTGAGGGCCATTTGTGATCTGAAATCACGCTAAGGCCAAAACCATTATGACGTAGAGTCATGCTGAGGTCGAGGGCCATTGTGATGTTGAGGCCGAGAGACGTTGTGATGTGGAATCACGCTGAGGCCGACGACCGTTGGTGTTGTATAATCACGTTGAGGCCGAGGGCCATTCGTGATGTATAATCAGGTTGAGGCCGAGGGTTGTTTTGTGATGTAGACTCATGTTGAAGCCGAGGGCCGTTCCTTGATAGTTCTGGGAGGCCGCGTGTTAGTCCTCCAGGTGTATGTTCCTTCCTTCAGGCTACGTCCGAGGGGGTTGCTTCCCCGCCTCGGTCGAAAGGGGGTCCAAGTGATCCGTCCGGGGGTTCGTCTATTAGTCCCCCGACGCTGGGCTGTCCCTTGATTGTGTCAGGAGGTCGTATGTTAGTCCTCCTGATGTGTGTTCCTTCTTTCAGGATTTGGCCGAGGGGGTTGCTTCCCCGCCTCGGCCGGAAGGGGGTCCAAGTGATCCTTCCGGGGGTTCGTCTGTTAGTCCCCCGGCGCTGAACC